CATTTCATTCAAGGACATACTTATTTTATTTTCATAGTCAAGACTCCCGTAACCCATGGAAGCCATAGGTGCAACACATTTACTGCGGTCATCTTAGTAGTGGCATGTTTCTATTATAAATCCCATCCTTCTTAAAGCTAATTTTGAATTCCTAGTGTTTGTTCTTCTAGACTGACTGCTACACAAGTCTAGAAAACGTCCTTGGCTAATTTACCCACAGTTCAGTAGTGGCGGTAAAACGGATTTAGACATTTCATAAAGACATTCCTGGGATAGAGTCGGCTGGAATTTGAACTCGGTTCGCTAGTTCTACTTTCGGCACTTATGTCTGTTACGCAACCCTCACACTCATTTGTTTCACATATTATGATATTGAACCTTCTCACTCGCTCACTCACTCACTAATATCAATCCCATGTAAATAGATATTTAACTGATTATTTCTAAAGGCTCCAAGCTTTACGCTGACAGTTACTGAGTCGATACGCATAAACATAATTTTTCAAGCAGTTACTCATATCTGCTACGTCACTTATTTAATGCCTACGTCACTTCCGGTAAAAAAGAAAGATGTCGGTCAGGCGAGTAGTTACTGACTCGGAATTAAATCTAGACGCCATTGTTCATATAATGGGGAAGGCAGGGAAAATCAAAAGAAAGTAAAAGTGGGAGGAAAACAATTCATTGATTTTTGTTTTTAGCTTTCTGTCTTTTCTGTAGAGACTTTTGTGTTTCTAAAGTTGTCTTTGTGTTCTTCAAATATTTTTTTTCGTCTGGTGGAAAATGACAATATACAAATAAAAGAAAAAAAAGGCAGAAAGAAATATATCAAAATATATCAATAAAATAAACAGAAAGCAGCTGGTTTTACTTTTCTTGTTTACTTTTTGACGAGTAAAGATAATCATTGGTTGATTGGCTAGACGAATTGTCGGTAAAAAGTGTTACCAATAAGGCGCACGTTTAATAATAGCAGACCTGTAGTCGTTCGAATTGTTGATATCCAGTGAATAAAGAGAACAAGGCATTGTCTACAACTACAAATACATTTTAAATGGAACTGCAAAAGTGACTGCGGAACGACAAATAAAGTAGGTTAATGAACCCGATTAAAATGGAATGGCGTCAAACGTTTATAGCAGTAACAGACGCTTATAAAAAAACGCTTATTCAGGGGTTGTCTTCTCTACAAAGTACAATAATCCAATTGATCGACAGAAGTGGAAAAAGGATGCAAACTGATCTCCTGACGAAAACGTTGTTAACAAACAAAACAGATAGAAGCTCTAGTACTAGTATTAGTAAAACGTAATATATATATATATATATATATATATATATGATAATTTCTCAGAGTTAACCTGTAGAAAAGACAATATTTATAAATATAAATGACAATAGGAAAACTGTAGTTATTGCTGACGCGTCTCGTCCAATGTGGAAACGCGTCAGTAATAACTACAGTTTTCCTACTGTCATTTATATATATATATATATATATATATATATACTGTATATTTCTGAGTATAAGGCGACCTTTAGATAAGACGAGGTAAAAATATAGCAAATATTCATGAATTTATTCTATACTTGTAGTATAAGACGACTGCTTATTGATTATATAAAGATAATATTGGAATTGTTTTAACTAACTCTATCATAAGAAATTCAAAATAAATGAAAAAACGATTCTATATCATGTTTTTCATACACGCATACGCTAAAAGCGAAACCATTCTTTTATTTACGTTTCATCACGTGATCTCTTGCGAATACTGATTCTTCTTTTTCTTCTTCTTCTTCATCTTCTTCATCTAAAAAGTTACAAACATCCTGGTGTAATAATGGGCATTTACATATACTTCGACGATAACAAAATACCTCTAATTTAAGATAATAGTACATTGCATTTCTGTGAATGCCGTCGTATCTCGATGTTTACATTTTCTCAGCTGAGCTTGCATGGATACAAGTTGATTTCATGGATATGGAATTATTTGTCGAACAGACAATTTATTATGAAATTGTTTTATTACTTTTATTAAAAGTTTATTTGAGAATGAGAATCTTGTGCATTCTTGGTTATCTCACCGAGGTCAAATTTAGTTTACGGGCAAATATCACTCAAATTTAAGATTTTGTTTTTTTTATAAATTACCCTGAATGTTTGATTTTGGGTATTTAAATGTCGTCTTATACGTGGAAATATACCGTATATATATATATATATATATATATATATATATATATATATATATAAAAAGACATTTTTATGTTTATATATTTATAGATACGAATATTTAAGTAAATGCTCTGTTTATAATAAACAGTATTAAACAAAATTTACCGGCCTGAATGTCCGAGAAAGTTTCACAGAAAATATTCGTCCTCCGACAGGATTCGGACCTGTATCCTATACGGAACCGTCATTTAGCTTGACGTGCCTTTAACCGATTTGGCCACAGAGGAGCGTTCGGTTAGCAAGGTCGAATTTACTGTATTTTTGAACTTCAATCTTCTATGAATCTCTCACGTACATTCATATCTGCTATTGGCGTATCAAATGTAAACAAATGACGTCACACATTAAGAAATGGAGAAAATCCGACAATTATTTTAAGACATTTTTATGTTTATACATTCTTTTTATAGATACAAATATTTAAGTAAATGCTCTGTTTATAACAAACAGTATTAAACAACATTTACCGGCCTGAATTTCCGAGAAATTTCCTCTTAAGTATTTGTACCTATAAAAAGAATGTATAAATATAAAAATGTCTTAAAATAATTGTCGGACTTTGTCCATTTCTTAATACATACACACACACACACACACACACACACACACACATATATATATATATATATATATATATATATATATATATATATGATGAATAAACAGTCACGTGTTATGAACTGGCAAACAGTGATATGAACATCAGGCTAAAAAAGATAAGATGGGATCACTCAGAAACGCAAAACACTGGTGACAACGAACAACAAACACAGGCTGAAAGTTTAAAAACAATTTTACATAACAAAACAATTGAATAGGGAGGTAATTTAAGATAACGGACGTAAGATCAACAAGAGGTACTTATCAGATACTGGGTATCACTCCGATTATCTAAGAATCATAAGCTTGCAAGTTGAAGTGTTCATAACAGCAAGCGGATAAGTTCTTTAGAGAGTCTGAATGGAAATCGGTAATTATTCATTCTGCAATATAAACTGGGAGATTCCTGAATGGTACTTCTATTTCGTTCCCCATATGGTAATCGAAATAAATCCAAAATAAGACTGGGAAGATTTCTTCAGGAATAATAGTTTCTTATTCTCTACACGTCTAGAAATCGACGACATCCAAGATAAGTCTACGAAGATTTCCTCGGGAATAATATATTCTTTTTTGGTACACATCTAGAAATCGAATATGTCCAAGATAAGACTGGGAATATTTCTTCAGGAATCATATTTTCTAATTCGTAACATATCTAGTAATCATAAATTCTAATGAGTGCACGATGAGAGTCAATTTATTCCTGACTTGACGTAGTGGGAGATTTTCTGGAAACTGAAAATATATTTAAAAAATCACATTTGGTAACGCATGTCACGAGGGCTTAGGTGACCGACTTTTACTTATTCCATTAGGAGGTCAAACTGACTAGCTGTTAAGCAACCGAGATTCTATCCCGCCAACTCTCTGTCTAGACAGGAAATAAAGAAAGAGATAAGGAGCAAGGAAAAAAGAAACACTATGAAAGCATGTCCCTTGACAGATCGATAATACCAATGATTTGAACTGAAATACTGAGGGCCATGTCACACACAGAATTCCGTCTTCAGTTCAATCACCATTAAGAAACCATCAAAAACTACAGCAAAAATTTCTCTGTTGCACATTTCAACCAAACGTGCCATAGCATTGATGACTTCAGATGCGCGTTTTTAGCATCTTCATTTAACGGCCGACAAGAAAGACATATATCGGCGTTGAAATATATTTTCAGAATAAAATTACACATTGAGGAATTAACAAGGGATTAAACAGGGATTTGGGTTTACTCAGAGAGTCTAATTTCCATAGAGCGCCTTATATCCAACAAAAACAACAACATTGCTCTGAATTGTAAGTCACACGTCTTTGTTTATTTCTTGTCTCGTTGATAGAGAACACAGGCGTGTCCTAAAATCCGGCTTTAAAATCATTTTATCTTGCTTTAATGAAAAGACTAATATATATATATATATATATATATATATATATATATATATATATATATATATATATATATATATCATCAATCTTATTTCCAGCATTGTTATCATTTTTATTCCTCAATTTTTATTAACCGGCCTAGTAAATCTGAACATACACATACGTACGCACACAAATATATATATATATATATATATATATATATATACAAACACACGCACACACACATATATATATTAAAAAGAAAATGGAAAAAATAATTGTGACACGTTTCGTGTTTCCATTTTTGTCTTACAATTTCCTCAATACTATTCTTGATATATATATATATATATATATATATATATATATATATATATATCGTTATATCGTTATATATATATATATATATATATATATATATATATATATATATATATAACGAGAATTTATATACATGATGCCTTACGACTCGTTAATCGAGTATAACATATTAGCATATAAAGTAATATGTGCATTGACAATTTGCACTGCTTCACTCTTAGCATTGATAGATTTGCTTTTTTTTACAGTATATCAATCAGGTTATTTAAAGGATGAAAATGTTTATTATCTTGTAAGAATTTGGGAGTGGAATAAAAATTATTTGTGATACAGGTCCTACTAATTAACCCATAGCTTGAGGGACAGAAGAGATGGATCAATGCCGTTCCTAAGAATATTTGCATGTTACTGAATATAACGAACTCGACTGGAAGTGGAACTCAGCTCTCCGATTACTAATTCCAAGCAATTACAACAACTGGTATTCCAAAGCGGTCACCCAGTTAGGTACTAACGAGGCTCGACGTTGCTTAACTTCGGTGATCGAACGAGAACTGAGTTACACGAATATTACGTGTGCGATGCTAAATCATATTTCATTGAAATCTATGGAATAAATTACTTTGTGCAAAATGAAATACAAGAATATGAAAATAGATATGAATCATTATGTCACAGTGTAAAAGAAAATCGATAAAATAATTAAAATAAGTTAACTATGTACAAGTTACCTATAAAGTGTGTAGTTTGCAATAAGTGTTTGTCGCTGATCTAAAAAAAAAAAAAGGGAAAAAAAAATCTCTTTGAATTTTCCATTCGATATTGTAAGAATTCAAATGTCTGGTTAAACCAGAACTATTTTTTCCCTATTTTTTATAAATTTGACCGGATAAATCTGGAGAAATTAGTTGCATGACATCAATTGGATGTCTTACTTTAAAGCTTTGCATATAGCTTTTCTGGCCATCTTGAAAGAGATTGATACGGCTTAAACATCGGTAGGCCATTTTGTTGCGGCGGCTCTTTTCGCATTTGCGCGATTGCACATGTTTTCTTAAAAAAAAAACACTCCTCTCAGTTACTCGCTCAGTCGCATAAGTTTCTCAATTTTCCTATTTGAATCTTAAAAGCTGCCAGCAAATTTTTCATTGAATCTTTAAAAGCGCCCTTTTGTTTGTGCTTTCTAACTCTTTATGCTCATGTACACGGATGTATTGATAGCATAATGGCTAGCGACTCGGGTGAGGAATTAGGGAGTTGCGTTCGAATTCCAGTCGTTATTTGCACTTTCGCGTTATATTCGGGCAGGCCGATTTTGGAAGCATGATATTGCACTCCATTTGAAAGTTGGGGTTCGACATGAATGAAACGGTATAAAAATGTTTTTTTTTTTTCTAAATCGTTACCGTTTTTTGAGGAAAAGAGTTTAAAGAGTTTATTTTTTAGTTTCAAAACCTTAGCATCGGAATTTCAGTTCTGCGATCAGTGAAAACTTTATAACACCGACTTATAAAATATTTTATTTACTGTAGTTTTACAAATTGTATATAGACAAGATGCACTACACAAGAACATTATTAATAAATCATTGTGCCATCGAATAAGACCTTAATTTACTTCAAAGTAAAATTATACCGAACAAATTAACTTTTTTATGATGCAATATATTACACAGTTCAACAGCTTTAGTGCGATTTTCAATAAACAATGCAAATTTAAAACATTTTGCCTAATAATTTGTGCCCAGTAGTATTATGGTGTTATATATCTATTTATCTATTTTTTTTAATTATAATCTAACACATGATCTAACAAATCTTATTCATTGACTAGCCTTTTTTTGTAATCTTTTAGAATTTATTTTACTCAATGTTTACTTATGTAATATACTAAGTAAATGGGTATTCCGCTAGTGGTGATTAATAATTCTTGTTTGGATATATTTCCCATTATTTATTTGGATTTATTTTTGAAAATGGCAAAATTGGAAGTCAGTTTGTAAGCTATATCCTGTGGAAATTAGATATTTCTGTACATTTTTTCAGACGATCTTTAAAACTAAATGCTTAAAATTGGTAAAAGCTATGAATCTAATTTTTGGTGTCAGTACTTATCACATTAAACTCCAGCTTTTACAATGAGTTTAATGCTGATTATTGAAAACAAGTTAAAATCAACCTTTCCTAACGTTACATTAGCTTTCGATCAAATACGCTTTGAAAAGGTATGAGCACCCTGCCATATTTCAAAGTGGGACAGATTGGTCTCTTCGGCCTTGGAGAAGGAATATTCTGTATCCCCAAAGCCAGGTAGATGAAACTCATTATTTGCATTGGAACACTTTGCCTAAAGAAAGGAAATCCCAACAGAAAATTAAACTTTACTCAGAGAGAATTAACGTGGGGTAAATCCTCAGTTTAGTCTTATAAGGAGATATATGTCTATACAGTTGTTGTTTTCATGTGTGTTTATTATTTTCTCTCATCAAATGTCCATTCTAATGTATACTGTTTAAAAGTAACCTCATGACTAGACCAAAGCTTATTGAATTAGCTTGTATTCGTTAAGCTCTTGAAATAAGTCTGTAGGAGTATTTTGTGTTATGAGCGTCTGTGGTTAATTATACATTCCTAGACAGAATTCTCCAATAATTACCTTTCATGAAGTATTTAACGGTTTTAGGATTTAGTACCTGTCGAATTTCAGCCCTAAGTTTAAGCAGTTAATTTATCCATGCATCACATTCATAGAACCATTCACGTTGTCTAGTTTTCTGAAAACTTAAGGTATTCAAATAAACTTTATACAGTTGTCCTAGAAACTCTTGCCAAGAACAAAGAAGATCCTCGATTCACACACACACATATATATATATATATATATATATATATATATATATATATATATATATATATATATATATATAATAAAAAAAAGGCTTAAACACTAATATTCCATGGTCATAATTTATTCCATTGGAATCGTAAATTCATCAGACCTACAAATTCAAAAAAAAAAAAATAGGAAAAACCTCTGGAAATAAAAATAGAATTTAGAGAGAGTGTAAATATGAGAGTGTGGGACGAATGTTAGAGCTAAAGTGAGGGGTAACAGACGAGAGAAGGTGGGAGATTAAAACTTAACAGAGAGGGGTTTTTTAATAGAGGTGAGTGGAAGGGGGAAATATGAATGTTGTCCGATGTCTAATACATTAAACATACATTTCGTGGTGACATACACACACCATAGACGATCTAATGTTAACATTTTTGGGATTACGGGAGAAAAACGTTTTCCACCTCATTCTTTTAATAAGGTCGATGATTCTGTCTGTAACGCAGACAGAGAAAAGGTGCAATGAAGGATAAGGAATGTTTTTCAAGGAATAATCCGGAGTAAATTTTTCCATCTCCATCTGAATAGGTTGGAATAAAAGCAGTTTAACTGGAAGTATACCAAGGAGAGCTCAACTTATAAAGGTAAGGAGCAATATATTGCTATATATATATATATATATATATGTAAAGGAGCAAAAACACCTTATGTAATCGCACACAACCTTGGTTCCGACCGTCAGGTCTCTCCAGGTGTCTGGCAGTAATTATTCTTAATACCATACTCAACTATCCAACTACTGGAAGTAGAGAAGTTGTACTTCCTGTTGATTCTGTCGCTATCGTCATTGTACGCCATTACGTTGGTATTATGAGCATTAATAATCCTTGCCATGTAATTAGAGCACCTATAACTAAACTTTAAATTGTTTTTGTTAAACAATTTATGGAGTAATTTGTCGCCAGAAAAGTACTTATCTATTAAACTTATAAATACACGGGCGATATTCGTTTTTACTGTCTTGTTGAATGGCGGGTTGAATAAAGTAATTTTCCTGCCTCAGCTTCACTATTATTATAGTTACCACCATCATTATTATCTTGCTTGCATTATTTCATTATTCTATTGTGGCTGCTTTCTGCTAATGTCTGGTCTTGGCTACATCGAAAATAATTTCATTGGCCAAGTTTCTGAATAGACAATTTTATACTGATCTTTTAATAGGGTGGTTTAAAATTTTGTTAATATATGCTATTGTACCCACGCTGTTTTTGTAGGGCCACTACGTTAATTTGTTTATATCGAAGGACACGTCGAGCCATCATTCCTATTATCAGCTTCATTAATATAAAAAAATACTGGAGTATTGTTGCGAACCGCTATTACTTGAATTCCCCTGAAAGCGACCAGTTACTAAAAAAGTATAAGGACGATGAAATGGTTTAATTCATGTGCTTGAAACGTGACATCATCAATAACGTTGAGTTCAAGCTAATTCTAAATCAACGATCTGCAATATAAGCTTTGTGTTTATTGATAAAAATTGATAATTCATTCTATACTGTGGACTAAGTATAATTTATTTTTAGTCTCGTTAAGGCTTCTGATATACAGTCACACTGACGATATACGTTCCCGTTTGATCCACGAAGGCAAACAGCACTTCGATGGGCGACTACTTCGGAACACTTAAGACTGTAAAGAGTAGTTCGAGTCATATAATCATCATGGTCGAATCGATTACATTCACTCACGTGCTAATAACCTTGGGAAAGGTATGAATCCTCTTCTTCTCCACCAGCTATGGGTAAATAGCAGGAAAACCCGGATTCTATAGCCTTGGATGGCAACTGGTCTACCGCAGAAGAAAATGGCAGCCTACTGCGGGGAAAAATATGTCTTGTCAGTTATGTATCGGAAGATACATGATCGCCTAAACGTTTATCACGTATGGCACATAACTGACTAACTAATCATCATATAATCTTAATGAATATTCTTTAAATTCTAGTTAAAGGAATCTGAGAGCCAATCGATTTTCGCTACATTCCAGTCAAAAGAATCAGAGAGTCAACGGAATTGGAGAGCGAGTCGACTTCGGTACATTGCAGTCGAAGGAAACAGAAAGCCAGTCGAATTCGTGATTTTCCACTCAAAGAGTCAGTCGAGTTCGTTATATTCCCGTCAAACGAATAGGAGACCCCCTCCAATTCCACGCGAGTTCATTAGATTCACCTACGTGCAAATACCCTTGTGAATGGTATGAATCCATCTCTTCTCCACCTCCCTACTATGAGTAAATAGAGGGCTGACATGGCCGTATAGCCTTAAAGGGCAGCTCTAGGTTCAAAACCTCCTGATATAGGTTAAATAGCCTCACCAACCAAGGAGGTAAGTATAGCTACAATGAAGACATGCCCAATTAGGAATGGCTTCCACCAAAAGAAGTGGGAAGGTCCTGAATTTGGATTTAGATTGTTGATGTAAAGTGCGATATTACGTATATTCGGCCTGCTTGTGTGTTAATTATAAAAAATATATCATAATTTAGTTCTTAGGATACCGAAGGAAACGTTTGCATACCATTAATGTTTTAAGAAACTATTAATCATAGCATGAGTTGGAACAAGTTTGAAGCCACATTCTGACTTTGGAATAATCACTTCCGAAAAGTAGTACCCTAGCTCACTTCGAGCCAGAGAGATTTTCTCTTCCTGAAAGG